TGCCAGGCAGAGTCCAACTGCATGGAGATGTTTAGAGATGTTTAGAAGCTAGCTTTCCCTTTGGGCAGGGTATTTCTTTGTGGGATTTCTTAAGGTCTTTTTGACTCCTTCTTAAATAGCTGCCAATGTGGTGCCATTAAAGGACTGTGATTACTTACTACCTTGAGATTCTGTTGTTGCTTACATCTCTGCAAAGAGATGATAAATAATCAGTAAGCAAGAGCTCTCACCTTGGCTGTTAAGTGCTCTCACAAATTACAAAGAATCAAGATTTGTGTGTAGTATTAGAGGAATTTATGGCTTGATCTACTGGGATAACTTCAACCTCCTAAGTGAAACTTAAGAAGCCAGAGACATAGACTAATAGCACACTGACAGTGCATATTTAGATCCACTAGCAAAGTTACAGATAGTAGGCCTTGCATCTGCCGCTGGTAGTGGTAGGGTTGAAAAATTGTCTGAAGATCTGTTTCTACGTGAACTACAGAAAGATTAGGTCTTAAAAAAAAAAAAAAAAAAAAAAAGATTTTTTTTTTTCTGTAGCCTAAACTCTATTGTGATTCCTTGGATTTTATCCAAAGATACATGGAAATAAGCTTCAACAGAGAAATAATAGTATTATTACAAGTAGTATCATTACAATTATTTTTCAGGATTATATGTTTCATGTTCTTCACATGCAGTAGAATTTGTGACTGGCTGGGGCAGTGATACTATCTGAAAAAACTGCCTCAGTATTTTCTAGTTCGAGTTTTTACCAACAAAGTTAATAGTTATTTCATCAGTTCTATAGCAATTCCAGAAATCAATTCTATAGAAATCAATAAATTAAACCAAATATTAAATAGGTTGCTTTGGAAAGATTGGCAAACCCTACTTCAAAAAGATATATATATATATCTTTATATATATTATATATAAAAAGTATATATATTATATATAAGCTTTACATATATATAAAAACTATATATATTATATATGTGTGTATATATATATACACACTTGATCATAAATTTCACATTCTGTGTTCTTTACTCTCGATATTGTTCTTTATTCTTGATAACTTTTGTGTCTTCATTTCATATTTTCTGCAAAGCAGTTTCAAATGGTGTCTTGGAAAGCAAGAGACAGTTTGCTAAATACTCTAATTTCCACTGTAGAATTTCATCTAAGTTACTGCACTCTTAAAACGTGATTAAAAATAGCTTATTTCTCAAAGTATATTTCTTTGAGTCAAAAGAAACTGGATCCAGATATGAAATCATGGGTTGTTATTTTGTTTTGCTTTCTTTGTCAGACATTTGCACAGTCCCCTTCCTTGGTTCTCAAAGGCAGTGTCAGGAAAAGTAGTAACAGGAAGTTTATACCATGTAATTGTTTCTTAACTTTGTAGAAAGCTKCTGCTGATGCTCAGCTTGAATTTAAACAGTTTACACACTAGCCAGTCCAGCCTGTTTTCAAGCTGGGTTTAGCATCTACAGATGAAAGGTATATGTTTAGCTTTTTCCAACAAATACTGTTGCTAGGCTGTTTCAGATAAAGTCTAAAATATGAAGCTAATTGCTGTATTTCCCTGCAAGTTGTTATTTTCTTATGCTGTGGCCTTGATAATATTTTTATTTATTTCTTTGCTCTTTCTCCCTCATCATTAAGACATATTAATCTAGTTTTCAGCATTAGTAGACTTCATCTRAGCAGCCCAGCGAGCAATCCTTGCCAGTGTCTGCAGAGCTGCTCTCACCTGCTTTTATAGCAATAGAGTTCGACTGAGGCTCCCACCATAATTGTGAACATTGATGGTGTTTGGCTCAGATGAAATATTTGAAAAAATACTTAAAATATATTACGAAGTATTCAAAAAAACCCCTGCAAAGTTGATAAAGGCCAGTTTTAGGAAAGGAATGTACTGGCCATATCTCCACTTRTAACTGACCCCAAGTGTAGCAGGGATGTAACTTGAGGAGAATAAACTGTTAACAAAATTAGAAGTTGAGTTTGAAATTAATCTATTGTCTATAATATTAGGCAAATGCAATTACTGCTCATAATGCACAACTTGTACTTTTACTGAGTGTAATTTGTACACGCACCCCCTCTGAAAGATCTATCTCTTTAAGTTAAAATATAAATTCAAGCATGAGATATACTAGCCACATCACAATCCAAAACTATTCCATTTGGTTGCATTGCATCACTTTGAGTATTTCCTTTGACATATTTCCAAGTGGACAGATCAAGTGGATAGATATCAGGATGCTGCTAATCAGCACTTCAACTTTTTTTTTTTTTTTTTTTTTTTTTTTTTTTTTTTTTAATTTTTGGCTGGTATTAGAGACCTGCTTCATGCAGCAAATCCCAGCCCACATTTTTAAGCTAATAGTGTAGGAAAATTTATTGCTGTTACTATTCAGTTCCGGTACAGTTCATCAGTTGATTGGTATTACTGGTAGTGCAGACGGATGTAGGAGTTATGGAGCTAATGGGAACATGCAGCACCTAAGCTTTTAGGAAGAGATTGATATAGATGAAAACAGGTTGACTTTCCAGCACTCACTGGGATAAGCTGGTTCTTGATCATAAAGGTGAGAAGTTGCAGAATATGACTTTTTAGCTGAAGGCCGTCAGGCTTTTTTCCCAGCACCCAGTTCTGAAAAGTCTGCATGGTTGTAGTCTAAACTTTTAACTCCAACATCTTGTAGTCATGGCTTGTCTGCAAACAAAGCAATAGGAAAAACAGGCTGAGGTTAGTAAGACTAGCTCAGCAACATTCATTTTCAGGGATAAGGAGGTAATCCCTTCTCTGTGAGGTGATAAATTAGTTGATAATTCACTGACTGGAAATTCAAGGAACTAAGGGAGTAACACTAGTAAAGCTGTTGAAAAGCTGAGTACTTGTGGTTAGCTGGTATTTTTTTCATTTTATTTTTGGCAGGCCCAAGGCAAAGTAGAAGARCTTTTATTGTAAAGAAACTAACTGTGAACACCACAGTGTTCCTTTCTCTGAAGTATTATCCAGCTATTATCAATAGGATCCAGATGGTGTAGAAAACTGTCAGGACTTRGTCATCTTTACAAGATGTGGTTTGCATCTGTGTCTGATTGCTGCTGTCTTCCACTCTGATTTCATCTGCATAAACAATGTAAGATATGCTCTAACATGACTTAATTTTCAAGTCTTGTCTGCAAATGCTTAAGAACATCTACACCACCTCTCATCATGGGAATAAATATTAGTATAAAGCAGGCTGCTGTCATTTTTCCTTTTACGCTTTCTATTCTAATGAGTCCATGGAGGTTGTTCAACACTAGGTGTTCAACAGCACTAGAATAATGATGGACAATGTTCCTAACACTGCCTGTGTAGATGCACCCACACTGAAGATAGACACCTCAGGAATAGGGGCCCTTAAAACACTCCAAAAGGTAACTAGTAAATGTTTCACTAAAACAAACACTTGAGTGGAAGATTCTGAGGGAAAACAATAGTCTTTGAGTAAAGTACCCAGTTCTAAGACCTCTGCATAGTTGTGAGGAAGATTCTTCCAGTATATCTTAAAAAGCTGGAATGCTTAATGACTGATTCTTGTCTGAACCAGGTTTCAGCTAACTTGGATTAGACTTGTAAAAGCTCCAGTGCTTCTTAGACCAGGAGAAGCTTCTTGGGCATTCATGGTATTTTTTCCACATATATTGAACCCCACATTTTCAATGCAAACTCCAATAAATTGGGTCAGAGTTTAAATGCAAAGTGCTGGAGTTTGGGCCACTTGAGTCATATCAACGTTTATGAGAAACTGAAGTAARAGCTCACATAAATGTCAACTGTGTGAAACCACCAAAGGTGTTAGATACCTTTGTGGTCTCGTCCTTTTTCATGTTTCATCTTTCTCAGGAGCTTGACTTCTCCCTGTTCTCCTTCATACTTTTTTTTTTTTTATTATTATTTTTAAATACCTAACTTGTATTCTGTATGTTGCCATATACATGTATACACACTTTTTGCTGTGCTCCTTCGTGTTGAGTAGTCTATCTTTCTCTCTTGGCCTTGTCATCTTTCCATTTCTTCAGATTCAGTCAAGGAATTCTATGTATTTCTCTGTTTCTGATTATTGATTAATTTAATAGTCTTACATTTTCATTAATACAATATACTGTCCATCTGCTATATTACTGCATTATATAGTACTGTAAGAAACATTTTATGACACCACTTACGCAAAAGGAAATAGTCTCATGCAGAACCACTTGCCACAAATGTGTCTGTATATGGAGAAAGCAGACTAGGAGCTATAATACTGCCACTAAATCTACAAAAAAACTGTGATTTAACTGGAAATCCTTGCTGGGGAAATTTTGAGCAACAGGCATTTCCCATGTTATCAGTTCCATTTTGCTCTTGCTGCAGGCTACACTGTAATGTAATATTTACATTAATATTACAATAATAATGTAATGTAAATAAATTTACCAAAATTTGTCTTGAAATTCATGCAGTTTTCGGCGTTCTTCTTCCTTCTTTCAGTAAAATTATTATTATGCACCTCATATTAAAGAGAAATATTAGGAGGTTACACATATATTTTAGAAATAGAAACAAACCATTTAGACATAAATTTCCAGCACTTCTGCTATTTCTTGCAGTCTTGCACCTACTGCTTTGCAAAGAACACTATCTTTCCCTTAAACAGATCTTGCATTGCAAAGGCAATCCGGGAGAATAAATGTGTATAATGGAATATTGTTTTCATATAAGTTGAAATGTGATTTTTAAAATGGTTGCTGAGTATAATCTCAAAATCTTTTTTTTTTTCTTTTATGAATAGGTGCATTCTGAGTTCTGATACTGCCTGTATCCCATTTGTTTCATTCATGCTTTGAAGTCTAATAGTAATAAAAGCTTAGAGTGTGTATTCAGTCAAAATGCCCAGCCAGCAATTGTTGTTCTGACAGATTGTTTCTCCACCCCATTCCTAACACACTGCTTTCTTTTTCCATTGCAGTTTTCCACTTGTCCCACAAAGTCACTCGGGTCGTCCCGGAGAGCGCTCTGCTGATTGTTCTTGGTCTCTTCCTTGGTGGYATAGTATGGGCTGCAGACCACATCGCCTCCTTCACCCTTACACCAACAGTGTTTTTCTTCTATCTACTGCCCCCCATTGTTCTGGATGCTGGATATTTTATGCCAAACAGATTGTTTTTTGGAAATCTTGGTTCTATCCTTCTGTATGCCGTCATTGGGACAATCTGGAATGCTGCCACTACCGGCTTGTCGCTCTATGGTGTCTACCTGACAGGAATAATGGGTAAGTTTCCTCTGTTAAGGCAAAATTAGGAGTGTTAATGGATGCCAGACATTAGAGTGATGCCCATGCTGAACAAATCTTTCCAGTAGAGACATACCATTTTAATTGGAGAAATTTGTAATATTTCAAAACAAATTTCAGAGTGATCGGAGAACTCTTCTCTGAAGCAAGCATAAAAGGGACCTGAAATTGCCTCTTGTATCTCCCTGCCCTAAATTATGTGTATGTAAATTCTTAGGATCAAGCTCAAGATTCATCTTGCTAATGGATGTCTAGACAGAAATACACTCTGAAAGGCTTATTTCTTTCTGCTGAKAAACAGCTTTCAAAGTTATTGTGAAATGGAATTGCTTTTTTTCAGACAACTGTAGTATTTATTGTGTATATATGCATGACAAACCTGTATTTTGTCTTCTGAGGCTAGTAGTGCCTTGGTAGCACCAAGTAGTGCCAAAACCAAGTAGTGCATGTGAGAAGTCTTCATTGCTCTCACTGTCGTGCATTATCATGGGAAACATATCCCTTTCAGCATGATGTGTGTTGGAAGAGGCACAGAACGGCAATTCYTAATCCTCTCTGCCCATGTTGTGTTCCCATGGACTGAAAGACAGCAATTCAGAATACATGGAGGCTGTTTGAAATACATGTTTGAAACTGGGCATCCTATCTGTGCTTTTTTAATACCTGGACTGAAGAAACTTAAGAGTCTTTCTGGTACAAAAGGAAATCTTCCAAGTTGTCTTAGGTCAGAGAGTTTAAGAAGGTCCAGGGAGTCTGGAGAGCAGCTAAGAGTTGTACTAGTGTGACACAACTTCACCTATTCACTGTACCCATCTGCCCTTGGATGCTCAATGTGGCAAAAAAATTGCCAGCTAAYAAAAATATGTTATTTAAAGATTTCTTTCTTTAAATATGCAAGTTGCTTCTGTTTGGTGGAATGATTTAAATGATCACCAAAGATATTAGTATCCTGTTCTGGAAAATGCAATGAATGATAATCGCAGTTTAAAATGTGTTAATGAAATCATAAGATGAGAAATATGAATCTATTTATGGAATAAGAAATTGAAAAGTCCTGTTGTTTTCCTGAAAATTTTATTTGTAGTGAAAGACCCATTTCTCTCCTGCTCTACTCCTGTTCCTTGAACCATTTTTGACTAATGATTAAAGCTATATTTGATGGCTACAAGTGTATTAGTCTCTTTATATATAGTCTTTATACACTATTTATATATTATACATGTAGTCTTTATATACTATAACTCTGAGCTTAAAGTTAAACAATTGAATCTGTCCTCATCACAAGAGGACAGATTAAAGCCTCACAAGATAAAGGTATGAGATGTTAGCCATGGCAAACTATAAACTTAGGTGCCTGACAGCTTTCCGTGTTTAGAATGAGATCACTTGAGTGTTAATTAATCTAGTGTGTGGAGCTTTCTTTACTGCCAGGACATATTATAACCTCCTAATTCTAATTTCAATTACGGAAAAGGCCAGAGAAGTCTGTCCCTGATTCAAACTGTGTCATTCTTCAGCAAAGCTAAGTAGGACTTCAAAATATGTACCTGGTACATACCTACTAACTCCCTAAATGCACTGTGGTGACCCCCAAAATAGAAGCAAAAACTTTTATAAGAAGCCGTGCTATTGTGTTGAAGATGTGAGAATATTGAGAGATTTATTCCAGGAGAGTTCATAGCAGACTCTGGTTGAAGATCCAGGGGATGTTTTTGCTTCTACATCACTTTACATTTGGTTTGAGTAAAGAAGGGTAAGAGTAATGTCACTAAAATGTAGGAATGTTAATCCATGATATACTTAAAAAATTACTTCTAACTCTGCTGTGGAATAGGCCTGAACTAGTTCATTTAAGATTGTCCAGATAAGGGAGTCGTTAATCCAAATTGGGTTACAAAGATACCCTAAGTAAATAAATAGAAACAATTCCTTATTTACATTTAACATCTTAACAACTGATTTGCAGAAGAAAGAAAAAGAAAGAAAGTGATAATAGCAAGGAAATCCTTCTAAAGAAGTGAAATAAAAAGAAAGCACCTTTTTGCTAACAGCCACTGTGGCCCTCCTGCATTCATTAGATAGGAGGAAGAATCTAACCCTAAATCTTGCTGTCTGGTTCTGCCTAAGGATCTGTTGTAAAAATAACCCATGCAGCAGCATTATCTGCACTGGAATAGCTGTGGTTATGACTAATGTTCCTAGAAGCTTTTCTTGTACAATGTAGGTCACAGTGGCAATGTGCTGAGTGTGGGTGGATGTCTCAAACTGGGTCCAGCGACCTTCCCTTGCTCAGGTGTCCCAGTTGGCAGCAATGGCTCCAGGCTCTGGTGAGCTGAAGGGGGCACAGGTCATGTACCACTATGAAATAACTTATGTTTTTCATCTAAGTAAAAGTTTGATTTAACAATCCCATGTCTTTTGACACTGTCTTGTATGAATTATAGATGTGTCCTGAGCTTTCCATAAATATTTGCTCACTAGCCTTGCAATTCTTCCAAGAATGTACCAATGGCTATAATTGGTAATGTATAAAAAAAGATAAGCAATCACAGTGACCCCATTTATTTTAAAAGCTTGTGTTCTATTGTGCCCTGATATCTGACAGTTATTGTCAGTGGGCTTGTATCTTCCCTAAGCATGGCAAAGAAGGAAAACTCGTGGTGGAGTCATTACTCACATACAGGTTCAAGGCTGTTCACAGAATTTTTGGCACAGACTCCAGTTCATTGCCTCAACATCTTGGCCACACAGATGGATAGATTCAGTCCTCCTTGTTCATAGCCCACTAAGTCCAAGAGTGGGCAACACAGTCTCTCCTTTTGAAAATATAGAGTAGTTGTGTATCCTGCAAAGTAAATATTCCCTTTCATTTTGTAAAAAAACATGTATATGTGTATGTGTATATATGTATATTTATCCTTCAATGACCTCCCAAACAAAACATTCTCTTCTGAGCTCTTGATCTGTGGTCCCCTTGCAGACCATTTAACAGTGGCTTCATGAATCATAACTTTGGAGCAACTGGCTTAAGTAATTTCATGCAGCTATCAATAAATGTCTGCTTGACTAAAGAGGTCCGAAGCACTTATACTTTGCTTGCTTTTTTTTTTTTGAAGGCCACCTAGACATTGGACTGCTGGACTTCCTCCTGTTCGGCAGTTTGATAGCTGCGGTGGATCCTGTAGCTGTTCTGGCAGTGTTCGAAGAGGTCCATGTCAACGAGGTTCTGTTCATCATTGTTTTTGGAGAATCGCTTCTAAATGATGCTGTCACTGTGGTAGGTAAATAGTATGTCCAACAGCTACCCAGTTTCTCAGGATTTCTTCTGAAGTACATTCCCCTCTCTTAAATTAGAGTAGGCCTTTCTGTGTGTGTCTGTTCACAGGCTAGTCTTGTTTAGTTTATGGTGTTTTTCTGTCTTGCTTGCAAACACTGTGTTGCAAAGGTTAAATAGTCAAACACTAAATTTAGTTGGAGCCCATAAGTCGCAAAATAATATACATATTCCCAGTCTGTGTGAGTGTATTAACATTTAAAATGAAATTTCTGATGTGAATGTTTTTTAATATATTTTTATATTAACATATATARCATAACATATATTTTTAGTACTTTTTAATACATATACTCTTTTCTTCCTGTTTTATGTCCTTAATTTATATGCATAACTTTGATAGATAAACAGTGTGAAAGAGAGTACTCCCACAAATGCTTGTGCCTATCCCCTTTCCAACTCCTTTCAGATGCTTATCCCATTTGTTACACATAGAAAGTCAAACAGAGAAAACTGGTGGGAYATTTCAGAAAGTTCTAGTTTGGTTTGTTTTGATAGCTTGTTGCTTTCTGTTTTCCCATTTTGGGGAAAAAAAAAAAACTTAAACCAATCCCAAATTTCCATCAATGTATTTATTTTGATAGAAACAGTTCTTTTAATGCATTTTTTTTTTTCTCACAATAAGATGTTCTGCAGTAGGACTTTTGTGGGCAGGGCCGGCAAGTCCTAGGGCAGAATGATGCTCTATGCCTGACTCATTATTCAGTTTCTCTTCTCTCCTTGGATCACCTCTCATTATCTCTCCTGCCTATCTCCAAAGGAGGGTAAGACATCTTCAGCAGACTCAGTGACTTAATCTTTTTGCAACCCAGCCAGCTAGGCAGTGCAAAGACACTAGCAGCATCCTAACTGTTTCACATGATTTTGAAAATCCCCTTTGAGACCTCCAGAGAAACCTAATTGTCTCATGAATATTTCTGAGGTAGCACCAGAAAATGTTAGAACAATCTCCCGATGAACTGAAATATCAGTATCACTGCCTTTCAGAAAGAAGGGGCTTTCTGTTACTGTGAAATGAATAAAATCACTCACTCTACAATTAAAAGATGTTTGGCTCTTTATAGGAGAATCCAGAGAATCCAGAGGGAATGGAAAGCATGATCAAGAGTTAGAAAGCATAGCCCACGAGAAAGAAAGACTAGGAAGCTAGGAGATAAAAGTGAATGATGTAGCACTTTTTAAACAGAAATATATAAAAAACAGCTGTTACTAAATAAGAAAGTGTTCTACTCTCCACTGCTGGGGTAAATTCAGTAAGAATTAATGAGTCAGGCTGCAACAAGGAAAGTGGAGCATGCTATAGTAAGGCTTTGCTCCATCACTTGTGGCCTTTAAGGGTTCAAAAAAAAGTCAAGAATGACACTCATAGAAGCAGATCACATCCCGAGTGGGTGGTATGGATTAGATAACTTCATTTTCAGGACTATCACTGTCAGTCAATTTTGAAAAGCTTTAGTATGATTATTATATTCACTTTTATGTTCAGCTTATTTCATATACATTCAACCTATTTCAACCCAGTGTCTTATTGTTGCTATTCAGACAATAAAAAATCTGGCCAAACTGTTGATTTTAGAGTACTAAGTGCATAAGAAAACCCTTAGACAACTATATTTAACAACCCATCTTCTAGGTAGAAATAACACTGAAAGAAGAAAGGGAAAAAGTATTTGGTTTTCTTTCTATTAATATATTTTTTTTGAATTCTGCAAATTCAAATATCTGCAAAATCTTCTACACTCACAAAGATTTTTTTCTCAGTCATATAAATTTTCACAGTTCATAATGCTGGGGGCATACTGCCCAGACAATTTAACACGCTTAACTCAGGAGGAAATACTAAGTGAGTCTACTTTTCTTTTCAGGTGCTGTACAATGTGTTTGAATCTTTTGTTGCAATTGGACCAGAGAAAGTGACGGGGACTGAATGTGTCAAAGGCATAGGTGTGTTGTGTTGAATTCTGCATCACATCACTGATGCACATATGCAGACTTTTAGACCAAGTATCATCATTGCTCTATCAGAAAATGCTATTTTTCAGCCCATTCCCTTGTCACTCATACTCGCACAGTCCGGTGGCATATCCTAAGTGTACAAACCTAAAATAATGTCTTAGGAGAATAAATAAGTGAATATGTGGGAATTTTGAGAGGATTTGTTTTCTTTTGAGGGGAATCAATAGATGTGGAATTCAGTTGTTAAGACCACCACACTTGATGGCTTTTTTTGAAATGTTCTCTAAAATTTTCTCATTTGTTGACCATATAATAAAAGAAAAAATGCTAAATCAAACCATTAACTTTCTGCTGTTTAAGCTGTGTTTGCTTTTGTATTTCAGTTTCATTCTTCGTGGTGAGCCTGGGTGGCACTCTGGTTGGCATTTTCTTTGCATTTCTGCTATCATTGGTCAGTCGTTTCACCAAGCACGTTAGAATCATTGAACCTGGATTCGTTTTTATTATTTCCTACCTGTCTTACCTCACAGCAGAAATGCTTTCTCTTTCTGCCATCCTTGCGTAAGTCCCCTTTTTGTTATTTTCTGTGAAAGGGCTGAAAAGGGAATCCAGTTTTTAAAAGCGGGAAGCTACAGAAAATGATATTTACAGAATTTTTGCTGAATATTAATGAATTTGGTTTGCATTATAATTTATAGATTATAGTTTGTTTATGCTGTCATAATTCAGCCTTGAAAAAGGATGCAAGTTTTCCAGTATCTGCTGTGCAACAGGAGAACAGCAGAATATAGATGTGATTCTTCTTTATGGGTGATAATACTTCAATAACTAAGTTATCCATTCATATTGATTTTTTTTTCCGTATAATATGTAATTAAAACCATTTTGTAAGGCATTGTGTGAGAGAATGCCCATTATCAGATACTCTCACTATCTGGATGGGCTTTTTTGATTTTTGAGCATTTCAAACAGCTTGATATTCTTACTTTGTAAACTCTAAAATTTTCTTCAGGGCACCAGTCAAACAGAACTTGGTTTCAGTTTGCCTGAAATTTGTCTGTTTTGACTTGAACACCATTGTGCTCCTTCTACTACCATATCCCTTGATTTGTAGCATACCTTTCTCCTCGGTTTTGCCTGCCGTGCTTGTAAATGTTACAGTGAGTATCTTCAAAATCTGAGAATCCTACTGCAAGCCTTCAGTTTTTGGGAGTCACCTTGGGGGCGATTACTTGATGTATTCTTTTTGCCTAAGTTAAGCTCCATAATGGATCCTGAGTGATCCCCCCTGAGTGGGGGAATTTTAACACTATATGATGGCCTGGGTGGAAAGAATATCATCACAACAAGTATTTTTTGAACAACTGATGGTTTTCTTTCCAGGATAACCTTCTGTGGCATCTGCTGTCAGAAATATGTCAAGGCTAACATATCTGAACAGTCTTCTACTACTGTGAGATATACCATGAAAATGCTGGCCAGTGGAGCAGAAACTATAATTTTCATGTTCTTGGGAATTTCAGCTGTAAACCCAGATATCTGGACCTGGAACACAGCTTTTATACTACTGACTCTTGTCTTCATCTCAGTATATAGAGTCATTGGTAAGGAGACGATCTTCTTGTCCTTAGATTGCACTACTGTGTGATGGCACATTCATTTGCCAACAAAGAACTTGTATTCCCTGACCTGTTATTTTTTAAAAAGTCCCGTTGATTCAAATGGAAGTTAAGGTTGTTGCTGGTTTAGGAGGACAGATATTTATAGTAAGCTCCATCATATGTTGAAAATATAGTAGGATTTCACTTCTGAAGATCTGAGTAAGCCAGTGGTTAACACGAATCGGCCCTTTTTTGACCAAACACATGGCACTGGCAAATTCTCTCCGTGAACTGAACTTTGTTCTTTAACTTACAGCCTAACAAAAGACTTGTGAGTCCTGTCAGCCATCTTCTTCCTTCAGCTCCTTCAGTTTGGAAATAAAGAGGTTTTGTTAAGCTAATTTTCTGCTTGACTGCAGGTTTGAGACATGGTGATGTAAAATCATACACAATTACAGTGTAGGTTCTCTGGCTTAAGAAATCATGCCCAGAGACTGTTCAAAAACAGAGTAAATAAGACTGTGGCAAGTCGAGATTACCTACTGTCATTTTAGTGGCTTTATATAAGTTTGTAAACATTGCAAAATACAGACAGTGATTTGTTCTGCTATTTAACCACGTTTTGTGAAGCAACAAATGGCCAGAAACAGCAAAAAGACACAGAGTGAAGTACTTCTTCAGAATAACACACACGGTGCTTTGGTGTATGTACTTACATCTAGGAATAAGTTAAACAGGATCACTTGCTTATCTATCTTGAATATCTGAATTAAAAGTAAATAAAAGCTAAATCCCCTTGCTAGCTGGCAGTTTTCCCAGGCTTTGTATTGTTATTCTAACTGGGGATTCCTGGCCTTCTTGAAGGGCCAAGCCCCACATCCTCCTTTCTAAATAGTCTGTAACCGTTGCTCAGTTAGCTGCCCCTGAACAACCACTGACGTGTGTGAGCTGCTCAAACAAGTTTTCAAATTCTTGACTTTGTCACTTRTTGTTAAGAACTCCTGGAATTAGTTCTTAACAGTCTTGTACCAAAGTGTGATTAATAATTAAATAATCAGTATTCATCATTGACAGTAAGCATTCATGACAGTAATTAAGCTTAGACTATGATAAATTACTAAAGAATGAATGATGTTAGGCCTTACATGATTACTGTTCTCATACCTTGGAAAAGTCAGRTTGGTGGCATGAATTTATTTTCCAGATCCCCGCCACAAAGCCTGACTTTCAGTCATATGCTTTTCATATCAAAATGCCCTAAAAACAGGGATAACTCTTTTGCACTGGTCCTCAAATCTGACCTGCTGCAGGCCATCACATGTGCCGTGGATGGGACTCCTGCAGCAAAGAGCAGCTCAGCTGGAGGCCTGGATGTGGCGTTAGCCTAAGAACGCCACCCTGCAAGAGACAACGTGGTTTTGCAGAGTACCACATTTGGCAACATCTCAACTCATTTCTCCTGCCATTGAAACACTCCATGTGTCTCCACTTATCATGATGCAAGAAAACTCTTCTTTCTGAAGTGTCCATTTTGAAGGCCTGCACACACTTGGATCTTGCCTTCACTGCCCATGCAAGAGGAAGGAAGAACCTTGCCTTCTTCTTGGGCAGATCAGTAGAACTGCTGGATCATAGAAAAAAGCTGCCTTTTTTTTTTTATTTATTCTTTTTAATTTGTTCAAGGTAAAGGAGAAGGTACTGAGTGTGTGCCTTACTTCTTTGGTAGAGTACCCATAGTGAGGATAAGCAGTGTGATACAGACCGTTTTGAAAGCAGATTTGGTGGTACTGTTTCTGTAACACATGACTAAAGTTGTTGTCACTTCACAAGGGTATTTCTAGACATCTTGGCATTTGTATTTTTACAGGTGTAGTTTTACAGACTTGGATTCTCAACCAYTACAGAATGGTCCAGTTGGAGATAATAGACCAGGTGGTGATGTCTTACGGTGGACTCCGTGGAGCAGTTGCTTTTGCTCTGGTTGCACTTCTGGACACGGACAAAGTGAGAGAGAAAAACCTGTTTGTCAGCACAACTATCATTGTTGTGTTTTTTACTGTTATTTTTCAGGTAATTCAACTTCTTAATCAGGCTTGTTACAGGGAGAAGGAGCTCTCCCCACACTACTCCATTCTTAAAGTAGTTCTCTGCTGAAGGTTGTGTTTTGTTTCGCTGAACCAAAAGCATAATTAACTTCTTAATTTTAGTAACAAAGATCCTATTTTATGTTTTCATATGGCACCACAAGGGACAAAACACAATTTCCTCTGTGCTAAAAAATTTTCAGTCTAGTTAATAGAACTCAAGTGAACACCCRATGAAGCATCCTTCACCTCATGTGAATAACTATAGGGAACAGTCCTTTTTACCGATGAGTACAATTACTACACTKATGTACCTGAACCTAAATTCTCTTTTTAAAATATAACAGTAATCAGGGGGACAAGAACATATTCAGCTTCCAAACACAATAGAAATTTCTGGATGGGAAAAACAATCAATCAAACAAACAAAAAAACTCCAGTACATTCAAAAAAGATATGCCATTGTATACCAGCTCAGAATGCTGCTCAGATTTATAAAGTGTATTTAATAATGTTTCACGAACTACTGATAAGTGCAGAAAATTCCACATTCACTGGTATATGAAACACTTTCATTCTTCCACTGCCATATTTCTCTGTCTAGAATATGCATTTTCCCTGCTTTGTATCTTTTCAATACTTTTTAACAGGAACTGAGGGTAGTGCATTATTTTATTATCTCTGAAGGGGAAAARAAGGAAGCTTGAGAAAACCATATAACACATAGGAAAATGCTGTTCACCTCTTTAGCACTAATCAGCTGCATGCAATTCTAAGACAATTATTGAGTTTTTCTTTCATGTTTCACTGCCTAGGGTCTGACAATCAAGCCGTTGGTGCAGTGGCTGAAAGTGAAGAAAACAGAGCATCGAGAGCCCAAACTGAATGAGAAACTTCATGGCAGAGTAAGACTTAAAAAAAAGAAATCATGGTATATTTTGGACTCTTACAGAGTACCTTAAAGAAAAAGAAATATTGACAAAAAATTCTTTTTGCAAGGAGGATAAAAATCAAACTCAAATTTCAAGCACAAATTCCTTAAAATGTTTTAAGAACTATAATGTAGGCTGCCRTTCTTCCTTAGGTTGAGCCCTCAGGTTGAGAATTGAGGCAATTCTCCATTGAGAAGTTCTGGTCTTTCACTTGCTAATTTCCTCTGCTGGTAGCCCTAGGGAAACAGCACAACTGGGAATATATTTCCTTCTCTCCAGCTAAAAGACGAGTAATGCTCTCTTGATTGTAGACAGCTAGAGCAAAGCATTTGGAAGTGGGTTTATTTATCCTTGTTAAATTTTATTTATTTATGGTAGAGAGATGAAAGCAGGCTTTGTAACTTGCCTATTGCATTGAAAGGTAATATGCTGTTCGGTGTGGAGGTTAAATATTGACATTCAAGATTAATGGTAGTATTTCTAGTCCACTTTGAATACTTTGCAGATCTGCCTTTCTTGCACATTTGAAAAGATTTTGAAATACTAGCCCTGGATCAATTCCAGTTCACTTTTGCGCGACATTATAATGTAACTTAGTAGAAGAAAACACAGGCTTTCAACACATATGGAGAGTAAGTGCCAGAAGACTATAAGACATCTTGCATGGACTTCTTTAATTAATAAACTTCAGGTTTATGAAGGTATCACTACATTGACCATTTTGAAATATTCTCTCACGAGCTCATAATATTGTTGGTTTTCAAACTAGAGGATACTTAAATAMGTTGACTTGGAGATGGACAGGTACATACCCGTCCAGAAAGCTATTTCATGCTTGATAAGTTACTGTCTGAATTTTTWAAAAAAATATCAATCGTGTCCAGAAATATATCTAGGGATTTGCTTAAGATGTCTTTGGATCTGTGTCTGAATATTTCTAGGCTCTGAAAATTCCCTACAGGTATAATTTCTGCTGTAGGTTTACACTTTGTTCAGAAAGGTTTCCTTAGTTATGCAATTTTGTGGCATATCCTGAAAAATTCTTCTCCTCTAGAAGAAATGTCTCCCAGTATTGCATTCACCATCATGACCCTACACGTTTGTTTCTAAGGAGTTCTGCCCAAAGGCTACAGAATAACTACGTTATGCTTTTGCTGCACGGCAGGATAGCTGTTTAGTTTAGGAAGAGAGAGAATTTCCCCAGAAACGCTATTTTGGTTATTTTAAAAACATAATTTTGCCCCTAGGCCAGTGGTCAGTGGAGGGCTGAGCTGCTACGTTAATTCTGGCAGTTTGTAAGGTGTGTATACACTGATTCACTGCTTCCTAGACAAGTCCAGCAGACCTTGTCTTGGGGTCTCCAGCTCTCCTAAATTGTCACTTCCATGCCTTCTGAAAGCAGTGTCCAGCCTTAAAAGTTGATCTGGAAGCACCTGACTAATTTTTCCACGTTCCATGCCCGATGTCTCCTGAAGTGATTATATTCCTGAATATTATATTCAGGAATAATGCATATCACCTGTGCATATCACATAGCATTCTGTAGACTCTATACTATTCAGTCTAAYGTTCAGAGTGAAATGTTAACAACTATTTAAAGAAAAAGACCAAATTATACATGTAACTGTCTTGGCTTAAATAAAGTCACCCAGCCTAACTATCATCAACCTACATGGAATTCAATCACTGAAGGATTTTGCACTGGCTTCTATAAGAGTGGCTCCTAATTTCACTCTGATGAAAGTACCAATTCCTGAAAATTCTGAAAAAAAAAAAACCACCCAGGAAGTTTTCAACTGATTTAATCAATATTAATGGTATCTGTACTTCATTGGGTTCAAATGAAGATGATATAATGAGTTGATAAAGTCTTAAAACTGACTGTTAATAAAAAGAATATTTAACAACATTCTTGCTGAGACTTGTGTAGGTGAAGAAAAGTAACTAAATTTAAAGTATCAAAGATCTACGTAGAAAGCAGTCAACTTTTGAGGAAAAAAAGCGTATATCTATCACAATATTTCTCTAAATGGGAAAAAAAACTGTTTAGCATCAATAAAGTTATCCTGCATAGTTACCTGGTCTAACCTGTCATGAACTGAGCTATTTTCTGATTGTGAACTTCATGTCTGTAAGATATTAATTCTACTTTCACTTTTCTAGGCATTTGATCACATTCTTTCTGCTATAGAAGACATCTCTGGTCAAATAGGACATAATTATCTGAGAGATAAGTAAGTAGTAACTAACTTAGAAAATTCAAAATATTGCTACAAAAGCCTATCCATTAATTTACAATTTTAAGTCCTTCAGTGGTGGTAACAGGGATGTAAAGCATAATTTTAAAGGTTAGACACCGAAAGCACTGGAAATTTAGGAAATGTGAAGAGTGCAGTTCCACCCCCTGAGCCTGGAGTCTTCTCTTCCACAGCCACAAGTAAAGTTCAGAGTAGGCCTCTGCAAATGCCTCAGTCCACAGMTAAGTCTTTCTCTGTGGTACTCCATTTCATGAACTATTTTCATTGGGAGAGGAAGAGAGACTCCTTCTCTTAAAATTAAGCTCATTATCTTCTCTTACAGTAACCTCAAAAATGTTTGCTTTTTGTCTTAGTCTTACATATGAGGGGTTCAGCAACTCCAGAAGTGATCACAGAGTATTTTGAATTAGCCCAGATGTTTTAAGCCTAATAGCTTAAAAACATGAATGAATGATCATTTCCACTGCCTCCTGTTTATAGCGTATTGAGCTTGAGACAAGCGAAGTTATTCAGTGGAAGACACAGTCATCATTTTCTTTGAAGCGCACATGAAGAATTACTGTTGTGATGGACAGGCTTTCATAAGCTGAAAAAGACTTTTAAAAATGGACTTCTTTAATAATGAGTTAGGCAGTTCCTTTCTCCCTAGATTTCAGTCTTTTCATAGGCGCACGCACTCAACAGTCAGAGCTGCTAAAATTTTCATCTGACTCAACATTTCAGCTCTACTCTGTAAGCCACATGGTTGAGCTATGAGAAGCAGAGAATATTAGCTCAGGTTTAATAACATCTCATATGATTATACAGGTCTTGGACTGGAGCTTGATTTTACCTAGCTAGCTTTAAGMTCAAGCAGAATTGCCATATCCAGCTATAAAGGGAGGCTTATTTCCTCTTTTTCAGTTTAATTTTTGCAGCAGAAAATGCATGTGCATGCACACATTTAGGCTCATATAGAGTGAGAAAGCCTAGAGAGACAAGCAATTTGAGGCAAGCCAAGAAATACTGAAAAATATCCTTTTGTGCAACTAGGAATTTTCAYGAGGCATCAGAAACAGAGCATCTTTCTTTTGGTAATCTTTAGTCCTTAGCTTATTTGTTGGGAATGATTTTTGGTGGCTTAAAATACAGGAGTGTACTTCCTCAGTTTTGAAATACTGCCTGTCAAGAGATGGACCTAAAGATTTTTGGAATCGCAGACCAGAGTTTAACTCCTTTGATGTCAGGGAGTAATATGCCTGAGTAACAAGAGATGGTGTWGCTTAATCTAGGATCACAGCAGAGTGTGTGGTTTGATGACTAATGTATTTTGAATGAGACCACCTTACATCTGCTTCTTTTGTATTACACCTGCCTCCGGAAGGTTCTGCTTCCTCCAAGAGGTGACAAGTCCCTAGCTCATTCAYTAATGGGCTCAGGTGTGACAGCCTGAAATAGAGACCAGGACTGCTTGTCTGGTGTTCTGGCTGACCAAGAGGAATAATTATCAACCCCGTGAATAATGTCAGCTTCCACAACAGTTAGACTTCAACAGTCAGGATAAAAACATGTAGCCTCCAAATAGTCATGGGACAAAGCAGATGGAATCACTTGGAATAGTGATAGGTCTCTGAAGTTCAAAATCCCCCATCTGCTATGCTCATTATTTTGAAAGTACTTAAAATGTAGCATTTATCCTAAATTACAAATGCTGTGRCACTAAAATTGCTTGCTCATTAATGTAATTTGTTTAAATTATCAGGTGGTCCAATTTTGACAGAAAATTCCTCAGTAAAATTCTGATGAGAAGGTCTGCTCAAAAATCAAGGGACCAGATTCTTAATGTTTTCCATGAGCTCAACTTGAAGGACGCAATTAGCTATGTGGCTGAGGTATGAATTTTTTTTTTTTTTTTTTTTTTTACATTAAAGCACCATATTCCTTTTTTTTTAAATTGCAACTTGCAGATGAAATAGTGCATAAAGAATGTCTAAAAGAAATCTATTTTCAAATCTGCTCTGCCTTTTTTTCTTTTCTAAAAGGAATTTAAGTTTGTTCAACCAATATCACCTGTGTGGGTAGCTGCAGTTCTCAGTACTATGTATGATCCCTGAACATTTGTATACTGTACATGTCAGTGTTTTTTGGCATATTGCATATATATCAGTGCATCTTTCTGTTGGATTTTACTAAAGATTATTGGATTTCTGCCTTCTTTGTATGAGGAAATACTGTAAATCTAATGGGACCGGCCAAATTAATGCATATTCCTAAGTGTGGTGGGGAAACGTGGCTCCTGCAGAATAGTGCTTCTCGGTGAAGTYAAGTCTGTTCTGAAGAAGCCCCATCCAAACTGTGTGGCCATGCAACTCGAAGTGGTGAACTGCTACAATTCCACTCTGCAAGATCAGTCATTCAAAAGATTTTTGAGGAGTAACTTGGATTCRGTTGAATCACAACCTCGACATTTCAAAAATCAGAGCAGTACATTACAGATRGCAGATGCAACCACAATATTGTGAAGTTAGAGAAATATAAGACATAATAATGGGAGGATATTTAAGAATTACTGAATTGTAGGAAGGTGCTGACCTTATGTGAAGTATGATTCCCAGAGCCGAGCTGTGCTAATAGATTACATAAGAATTTCTGTCCTCTTCAGTCAGTGTTTATTAATGTCAGCATAAACATGCAGCATCTACATAGTGCAAGGAATAGTTTTAAGGAGTAATATTTTAGTGCTCTTTGAAGTGRTAACTTATCTCTGCCCAAAATCTCCAAGTGAACTCATTTTCATAACTAGGGAAAAGTTCATTTTACTTGAATAGAATTTTTAATAATGATAATCTTTTTTTTTTTTTGAAATGAAAACACCTGGATATGCTTCTACTTCTTTCAGCAAAATCTGTTGCTTGTATTCACAGAATTAGGTTAAATTCAGCAAATATTTTGTTGTGAAAAGAGAAAGGAACAAGAAAATTTAAGTTTAAAATTTTCTAAATTACCCATTCAGTTTTTAGTTTGAGTTCAAGTTCAGTTTTATTTCTCATGGGTCTTTCTGGGTCACACCTCTGAGAAATAAAKTTACATGATGAATATAATGTTCAGCAGATTTATTGCAGTATTCTTTCTGCCAGGGAAAAAACTTAAGTTTCTCAGTATCTTTAGCTAATACTGCTTTAATTCTATATAGTAATATCAGATTAAGTCAGATTATTCCTTGCTTGGAAGAGTGATCTTTCTCATTATACATTAGTACAGTGCATCACACAAAGATGCTGAGTTTTGACACACTACTGAAATCTCAATAATGTTTATGTAGAATGTCTCCTGCAGACAAATTACATTTGTCATAACAATAGATATTAAAAAAAAAAAAAAAAAGAAATTAAAAATTCTTTAGATTCTACAATAGGTTTCAACAAGATTTTCTCCAGTGGAAATTAGTTAATCAGTCATGAGTTGTGAAGGTGGAAACCTTTCTCACATTAATACTTGCTTCAGGATAGACTGATTAACAGTGCATTTTATTGATTTTTGAAATAGCTAGATGTCTGTGAATTTACAAGCTGACAACGAAATGGAAGCCATTTCTTCAAAGAGGAATAGAGATCATCCTCCTCCAGGTGCCTCTTCTCTTCTGAATTGCCAGAAACTCAGGAGTTTATAAACTGTTTTTATAAATTCATCCTTCTTCCAAGTCTGCTGTTATTTTGCAGCAAGAGCTTGAAAGAGCTCAGCTTGAACCTAAATMAATTCCTTACAGATGTGAGAGGAGAGTATAAGTCAGCTGAGCTCAAAATAATCCAGYGCAAGCAAACAGAAATGACTTAAAATACATTTCTTACCTCTACCACTTTTCAGAGTCACGGTATAGGWTTCTCAAATAGTTACTCTGCACTCTCATCAGCATACCAAAGTTCACATAGCACATTCTCATGCATGGGTACACTTTAAGGATTTTGTAGTTAGCTTAAATTCACAGCTTTGGAAATGATCATATTTTAATATTAGGCCATGCTTTAATRTTAGGCCACTCAGAAGACAACATTTATAGTAAAAGCTCAATTTAACCCAGATTATCTCTGAGAAATCATAAASAGCAAAAATAAACATAAAAACATAAAATCATAAATAGCCTAGGACATTTTGTACTGGGAGCAAATTTTTATTACATCATTACAAAATAAAAAATATAACAGATGAATGAAGGATCAAGAAAACGGCAATACTTTTTTTTCAGAGGAGAGGTAAGATGGTTGTGGCATTACTGTTTTAGAGTGTATTTGTAATATAAAACATATTGCAGAAAAATCAGTACTTGGTTCCTGCAGATTCTTGCTGCAGACAGCAGCTCCTTCTGCTGTAAAAACACATATTTCCTGAATGCTGGAAAGGAATGATGAATAAAATATGCAGTTAGTAACTTCCTGGTGGTAAAAATTCCTCCACCGATGACATGGTATGATGTATATATGAGACAATAAACTTGATTTGAAAAGGAAGTCAGCCACACTTCAGAAAATGGATGAGGTGTTGGTGACCCAGATTTGCCTTTTTTAAGTTTTCTGTCTACAGAGGTCAGAAAGTGCTGCTGAACTAATCCAACACAGATTACTATAACTGCAGGTGGTCTGCCTACCCACCATACATGGTGGTAGCCATACAAACCATACATGCTTCCATACAAGGAAACACGCTTGACTTTATTATTTTGCGAAAGATATTGTTTTCCTGTGTGCATCCTTTACAACAATTCAAGATGCATAGATGTGAAGGTGCGGTAGCTTTTGGCCTAAATGCAGTAAYGTGTCCCATTTCTTGCTGCGGGCAGGGAGAACGTCGAGGCTCCTTGGCTTTCATACGGTCGCCAAGCACAGACAACATGGTGAACGTGGACTTCAGCACCCCGCGGCCCAGCACAGTGGAGAGCTCTGTCTCCTACCTGCTGTGAGTACCTGCAGCTCATGGGCTACCTGCCTCTTGGGCTTGTGATGTGAAGGGGCACAAAGAACACAGTGTGGGGGATTAAGGTCAGAAATTTTAAGAAATGTAAATTGTAGGGCCCTCATTTACTACTTTTGGGAATTTGCATTAGTCTTTTCCTTCCACATAACACGGGCATATGATGCTGTCAATGCTCTGGTTTCACTTTGCCCACTCATTTTTCAGTGCAATTAGAAAGACTTGCATCTTCCCTAACTCATACCTGGCTGCTTCCAAGAATAGATAGACTGATGYAAACAAAAGAATAAGACTATAAAGTGCACTTTAGATATTTGACCATGGGAACCAAATTTAGGAAACTGTGTATAATAAACGGGGGAAAAAAATCCCTCTCAAGGCAACTCAAAGCCCCCTACTTATTGCCTAAATTAAGATGTTGAGAGTCATCCTCTGTAAATAGTCTTTTTTTTCTCCACTGCCTCCCTAGACCATCTAGGTTCCTATGTGCAGAGACAACCTCTCTTGCCCAGAAAATTGCTCTCATGTCCCTTTTTTATTATAATTTATGGTCAGATAACTGCAATTATGGATAATAGAACTTTAGTAATGCGGTTACAGGAAGGTAACTGGCATTAAAAAAAAAGCAAACAGATAAAAGCTCATAAAATAGAGCATATATCTGTTTGGTTCCTGTGGCATCAGAGAACTGCAATTGACAGTGCTGGATGTTGTTGCTAAGTCTGGTGTAGAGAGCTCTGGTCACGAATGAGGCAAGGAAAAATATTGCTCCTTCTTTAAATCATTTGTGATTSAAAGGGCATAGACCATGAGACCTATAGGGAGAGAAATAAGAGTAGCAAATGCTACTCTCACCTTAAATACAAGAAATGAATACATTTTAAAAGGCTAACTTGTATACTCTTTTCACATTTCCCATCAGCTGTTGGCTCATTCTGTTTGCTCCACTTTGATTTTTTTTTTTTTTTATAAGAAGTGCCCCTGTCTTTCCCCATTTTCTTGTTTTTTCTTCCTGTTCTGCAATTAGTGACTTAAAAACCCCTGTTTGTACTTTGGTGTTCTTCAGGAGAGATAAAGCTGGACCAGTTTGCCTTGACATGCAAGCGCTGGAGCAGAGGAGGAAGAGCATCCGAGACACAGAAGATACAGTGGCACACCATACCCTACAGCAGTACTTGTACAAACCCAGGCAAGAGGTGAGAGCAGGAGGCCAACACAGAACAGATTCTCAGTCTAAACCTGGGACACTCTAGGAACCACAAATTTGGAAATCAGGCTCAAAAGGAAGGAAAACATCTTCCAAATCCACCCATGAGGAAGATGGTATCTTTATCTTTGAATGTACATCACTCTTTTCTTTCTCTRTAATAACTCTTTTCTTTCTCTGTAATAACACTGATATTAGTCCAGGAACACTAAGTGTAACTAACAAGGAGTTTCTGCTAATGCCTTTAGATTAGCCTTTGTTTGTTTGATTGATTATTTATTTATTTWTCTATGTATTTTAAGCAGTCACTTTTGTTTTCCTGGCTCTGTTTGACTGCATTAATCCAGAGSCCCTAGCAGCATTTCCGAATAAATGAATATTGGTTTTCCTTCCTGGCCATAGCACAAACACCTGTACAGCCGACATGAGATCATGCACAATGAAGATGAGAAGCAAGACAAGGAAATTTTCCACAGGACAATGAGGAAGCGCTTGGAGTCTTTCAAGAGTACCAAACTAGGAATAAACCACCCCAAGAAGCTCAATAAAATCCACAAGCGAGACCGGGGCCAAAAACGGGTAAAATACTTGCACTTGGTAGAATCATCTGTTATGCAAACTAAGGAGTGGGGAGGGAAGGAAGTACTCTGAAGGGTCCCATGTCTGAATATTATCTCTGACCTGTAAAACCTCATGACCTTAAGGTCTCTTGGTAAGAAGAAATTGAACTCTGAGGTGGTTCGTGGGTGACCTTCTCACACGCTGCTTTTCTCTAAGCTGTTGTAGCCTTCTGGGTGAGACACCTTTGATCACTTGTAAAACAAGACAACCTGAGTCAAGTGGGAGTAGTGCAAGGTGGTGAAGCGGAGTAGAGATGCAGTATCACAGAATCACACACTGAGTCCCAGGATGGTTGAGGTTGGGAGGGACCTCTAGAGATCATCTAGGCCAACCCTCCTGTTTAAGCAGGGACACCCAGAGCATGGGGCACAGGGTTGTATCCAGGTGGGTGTGGAAAATCTCCAGAGAAGGAGACTCCACAGCCTCGCTGGGCAGCCTGTGCCAGGGCTCTGTCACCCTCACACGAAAGAAGTTCCTCCTCACATAGAGATGGAACTGCCTGTGTTGCAGCTTGTTCCCATTACCCCTTATCCTATCACTGTCTGCCATGGAAAATGGACCAGGCCACAAAATTTGCAGGGAATGTGGAGGCAACCGGTAGCATCTGAAAAACTAAAGCCACTTTCTATTCCTGCAGTAAAACATAGCGTGGAGAAAATAGCACTATCAATACTGGGACATGAGCAAATCTTAGAAGAGATTTCAGGGATATACCATGGAACTGTGTGGATTTTATAAGGATGTTTCTGGCTTTGCTATCTAAATGTGGCAGTATCTTTGGTAATTTTTCCTCTGTTTTCTTTCAGCGAAACAGCAGTGCCATACCAAATGGAAAAATACCTTCAGAAAACCCAGTACAAGATTTTGTTTTGAAGGAAAAAGGTAAACCAACTGTTAGACTAGCTGCATTAACCACATTTTACCAACTACATCGTTGGTAAAAGAAAAATAATAATAATAATTGCTGAAAAACTGCATGGCATGCCAAGATGAGACTGATATTTAAAAGGAACTTCAATTCATAACCTGAGCTAGGCAGGTCTGCTTCATTCTTCCAAATGTAGTGTCTGGGTATTTTGCTGATTTAGAAGTTGTTTTTCTAGACAACAGCATGATAAATCATATAYGAATCAGCTCTCTCACTTACAATTTTAAAATGTCATTATTACATTTTGAAAAAAMAAAAGATGCAGGCCTGTGAGGTAGATGATATTTCCACTCTTTTTTGAATAAGCTGTATGGAGCAACTTTCACTCATGTCTTCGTTTCTGACCAGAGCAACGTACGTCTGCATATGCTACCACACCATATACAATTCAGTAGTTTGAATGGCATTCTAATCTGAGTTACCACTGACTCATTCTTCACACCTATTCACTAAAGCCTAATAAAGGAGTCAACGTTAAAAATCTACTTTGAAGCTCACAGTGCTGGGAGCATCACTAGCCAAAACAGGAAAGAAAAAAGTCAAAATCTGCCATCTTCTTTGTGAGTTTAAATTGCAAAATACTTYGACCTGGTGCTTTAGCCATCTTTTGGCCTTCTATGAGTAACAAGACATGGTGGAGGCAAATAGGTCAAATTATAATGCTATAGTATTATTTATATCATGTGGCTATCATTTACATGTATGATACATTTAATATCCAAGTATCATGTATATGATAAAATTATATGTTTCCCTTCAGAACTGAAATGTGGTTAATGTTTAAAAGCTGCTAAACTCTTATTCTCAATTGTAGACAATCTCTTGATCTCAAAGAGAAATGAAGTAAAGCAGAGAGATTTATTTCTTCCCATATATGCTCTTTAAATCATTTTCTGGAGGTTTATTTTGTGGTTTTGGGTGTTTGTTCCTTTTTTTTGTTTGTTTTGTTTTTGGTTTTTTTTTTGACTGTGCATGCTGAGTAATTGTAATGCTCTGAACTCTCTTTACTTGGGTAGAGCCATCTAAATACTTTCAAAGAGGTCATCCAACACTGTCCCCTTAAAGCACATTCTTCACAGAAATCTCTTCATCCTCTACCTAAAATAAAAGTTTAAATATGATTTCTTTGTAAAAGAAAATAAAAGTTTCTTTGTAGAACAGCGTTAAGAAACCATGTGGCAGCAGGATACTGGTGCCAACCTCTTTCTAATGATGAGAATGCTGTGACTGGTTGATGTAGACCAGACCAGACCACAGTTGACCAGATCTGAGCATTTAAGAGCCACACAGTGCTCCCATGTTATGTGTGTGCTCATTTCAGTGCCAGGAAAGCAAAGTCTCAGCCAAGAGCATATCTGGAATGAGCCATCTCTACCTTAGTACCGTGCACTAATGCAAGGCTGAAGCACCTGTGCTGGCTTTCTTAATCTAATTGGTGTTGAAGCTACAAATGGGATACATTCAAGCTCTTTTTTGCTCTTATCTGGATCCTTGTAAATGATATATCTTAGATAATTATAGTTATTATCTGCATCAAAACAGAATGAAGTAACCTCTTATATCAAAACTTACAGAAATCTCTAACCAAATTGGACTTTCTTTTTTCTTTCTTTCTTTTTTTTTTTTTTTTTCATCCAGATTTGGAGTTTTCTGAGCCAGAAGAAAGTAATGATTATGAAACTTTGCACCTCGGGAAAGGAGTTGATTTCCTGGCTAACGTGACAAAGCAAAATTTCACAGATACACCKAGTGGTAAGATAATCAGCTACATACAGATTTTTTCCCTCAAATATAAAACAAATTATGAGCAATGATATTGCTTTAGATTTTTTTATTATTATTATTATTTGCTCTCTTAGAAAGTCAATTTGCTTAATATTATTGTATTATTAATATTATTATTAACACATGAGAAGTCTGGGATATTTAAAGGTATGGAGAGCATCAACTTTGCAGSAGATAATACAGCAGTTGTGAGCATAATCCAGAGCTAAAGGCACTGATTATTTCTACCAACAGAAAACGTTATCCTAGACTTCTCCCATTTCACAAGGCCAGCCAATACCAGTCCTTTGGAGATGATTTCTGATATTTAAATCGACTTACTGTGCCATACATTTCATATTTCTTCTTTTATGTGATTTTTTTCATCTTAAATTCACAGTTCCTTCAGATTCTTGAAATGTTATAGTCCCAGATAATTTTAGAGATAATACAAAACCCATGGTAGTCACAGAAAGGGGAAGATCTGCAGCATTTCTGGGAAACTTAGTGTATTTGACCTCCAGTCCTGAATGGCTTTGAAATATCAGGTTGAAAATACAGTTTGATATATAAACCAAATAGTATTATGTGTTTTCAAAGGTTTTAAACTTTAATAATTCTGTAAGTCCTTTTCTATCTGAGCCCTCAATGTGCCACTGTATGGGTAACATACTGGATGTAGAGAAGATCAATACTTGTGTCAGCACTCTTGGTGATCATGTTGATGCAGCTTTTCACTTGCATCATGACAAATTCCATGTTTGAGTTTATGTAAAGGTATCCAGAAATTGATCCAGAAAAAAAGTGTGTGGCAAGAGGTAGAAATAGACTGTTTCAAATTTTTCTTTTACTGTTTAAACAGTATAGATTTATATCTATACTATATGTTCAAATTAAAAGGCTGATGATGTTTTTGACTGTTCTGTGGCCTACATTGGCTCCCTCAGACACATCTTGTACCTCTATGGATTTGAGCACGTCAAGGTTTTATTACTATGTTTGTTGTTTCCTTTTTTTTTTTTTTTTGATTTGAATGTTCTGCAATTCTGCAATTCTTAGGTTTCCTTTATTTTGGCTGAGGGAGGAGCTAATTGTTTCTTTTATTAATTATATTCATTGTCTGCAGACATCCTACCCATAACTGCACCTGATATCCATTTTTTCTCTTTAAAGGAAATCCAAGCTGACTAGCAGTAGCCATGCCTGTGAGAGCAACCTGTGGGTGTATAATAGTATATCTACCAATGGGTTTCTTCATTATAGGTCTTCTCCTATAAATCTTCTTGTGTTGCCAAGAAGTTACCGTATTTAATTGAGCTTGTTACTCATAAACTTTTGTAGGAATTGATAACCCGGTATTTTCAGCTGATGATGATCAAAGTGTCTACATGAAGTTCTCACCATGGTTATCTAGTGAAGATACCGTGGTGCCATCGCAAAGGGCCAGAGTGCAGATCCCGTATTCTCCAAACAACTTCAGACGCCTCACTCCGTTCCGACTCAGCAATAAATCCATAGATTCCTTCTTGCAAGCAGATGGCCCAGAGGACCGACCCAGATCTTTTCTCCCAGAATCAACACATATGTAATATTTTAAAGCAAAATTATCATCTTTATTTTTAATCACTCTTCCTGTCTACTCTTACTGCCCTGATAAGTTTACTTTTCTATTTTTTTCTTCAAAGTTGTTTCTTCTTGTTTTTTTTTTCTTTGTTTTTTCTACTACTAAATGTGTTCTATTCTCCTCCTGTTTGAACAGCTAAACATTTTTTTTCTATTTTCCTCCTATAGAAATACATCCCAGCTGTAAATATTTGGGGTGAAATGCCCAGTTGTTTTTAAAACAACTAAGGATCTGGCTCTCTGTTTTKACTTGAACACTTTAAATGCTAAGCAAAAAATATTCCAGTTAACCCATCAGATATGCAGTAGGAACAGGAGGCCTAGACCAGCAATGGGCTGAGCTTAACTGCGCGTTCTTAGCCTGGCCAGATTGTGATTTTGCCTCTGCCACTAAGAGGCCTTGCACGAGTTCTTCAGACCGGGTCAGATTCTTCTTTATCCTGAGCTTAGTCAATGAAAATGCTCCCTCTCATTTATCAGTGCAACTGCCAAATGAACCTGCTGATTACACCATTGAGTTGCATAAGAGGGAGTTAAAAATGAAGCAAGTTTTAAGCCTCAGAGTTCCCTTACACAGGTAGAGATAACTGCACAACAGCCAAAACCACGGAAAAGCAGAATTACAGTTTTGGTTAAAGCCCAGGCATTTGCCTTTCCCTTTAAGTGTGAATTTTTCCTAATCCATATCTTGCTCTGAAACCACAGAAATGCAGGGAAATTCCTTTTTGATGCACTAAACAGCCTGATGTTGCTAATGGGTTAGAGACTTCAAAACAAACCAACTCTGGATTTAAATGAATATCTTAGTGGCCTTTTAATTCTTGTTCTGTAACATTTTTCCACACCCTAAAGATCAGCCTTCATTTCCATAACTGACATACTGCTGTAAATGAGATGGCTCAGGTCACAGTTCAGCCATCATCGAACAGAGCATAGGGCGCTGCGGAGATTATGCAATGAAATGCAGTCCTCAATTTCATTGGGAATTAGTTGCCGGGAAGTCCTCAATCACATGTGTGGGACCTAGTATGCTCTGTGTATCCACAAAGGAATGTGGTAGACMGAAAGTACTTCTGCAGGTAGCTGGCGAACTTCTGTTCAGACAAAGATCTCATCCTGTGTGTAACTGCTGTGCAATTTTAGCTGGAGAGAAATTTGTGAAAAATAGAAAAGAAGGTGCTATCACTCCTGTTTTGGCTTTCAGAAGATGTAGAAGTTTGAGAGTAATTCCAGGCAGCAGTTACTTTCTCCACTGAAGTGGAATGCAGCAATGTGGTTGATTCGAATGCTCAATTCTCTATTAGTATATCTTCTGATTCTTTTTAAATAGTAATTTAAATTACAGGTTGAATTCATTAAAAGATTGTGAATTAAATTCCAATATCCTGAGTAAAACCTAGAACCCTGAACAGCATTCCAAAATGGAAACTWCTCCCTGACATTTATCCACATTGAAAATCTCTTCAAGTCTTTTTTTTCCATTGAAAATATTGTCATAAAATACTGTCTTATTACTTACGGAACTATTTCTTGCTAACCTTTGTTCTTTTCCTCCATTCTATTGCCTTGATTATACCTGGCTTTATTATTTAGAATTGCTACGCGGTTAGTTCTTGTGCAAGTTTGTTTGATATATCAAAGTCACTGGGCTTYGACTGTGTTTCTTAAGAGGCATTTGGGGCAACTAGATTGCCCAGGCTAACAAGCTCAGAGCTTAATTACTCCCAGAAACAGTCCTCTGAACTATCTCCTGTAACAAAAYATCCTAAAAGGAGAATGACACTGGAATTCCAGCACAGATTGAAAACTAGAAGTAGGAATGTGAACTTTGCCTGCACAATGTAAAGCATACAGAAAACTGTAGTCTACAGGTAAGAAGGAATTGATAGTTTGCTGATAYCTTCTGTTCATTATTTTAAAGACCACAGTTTATTTCAAAGGTGTCTGAAAGATTTCTTTGCTGAGCCTTGGGACTAAATGGTTCAAAAATAAAGACGCATCTTAGTGACCAGATAATGGCTYCATCTCCTAAATACTTGTATTATGCAGTGTTCAGCACCGGACTCAATTCCACCTCATATTCAGTCAAGATAAAGGCATTAGAACAGACTACGGTTTCCCAGCTCAAAAACAGTCTGAAATCATTCACTTTCATAAGATTTTCAGCAAAACTACCAAATTCAAAGGACTCCTAGAAAATCACTTTTTAAAATTAAATCAAGTTTGCACTGGTATAGAAAGTCTGTGTCTAAATATGTTTCTCTTTGCCGTMTAGGTGAGATGGACCACGAGGTTGAAATGACAGAATACTCCTCTTCAGATGACAAATTGCCTCCTTATACATCYGACCAACCAAACCAAGCACCAAATGTTTCAGAAACTCCCCTCCACTTCTTTCCATCTTGTCTTCAAATGCCTTGGACACAAGCCTATTCTTCCCTGGAAAATAGAGGGAATATATCTCTTTCTACTGTCTCTGAGTACGTAACTTCTTGTGACCCAGATGTACCTGATCTCTACTGGGAAGCAGAAACAGATATGAACAACAAAGAAACAATAAACTCGGGTTACTGTTCGGAAGTCAGCTACGAGCCGGAGAATTCACAGGAGGAGAGTTCTCCCTCTATGCCCGAAGGGCTGGAAGACTCTTATATAAAGGAGCCCCAAGAAAAGATAATGTTGCTTGATGTACAAGCAAACTACCGATCTGCTGCAGCCAGGCGCGTGCAGAGCCGACGTTCGTTCCACAGGCCAAAACCCTTGCAGCACCCTAAGCTTCAGAAGCTAGCATCGCTTCCAGCATCTTGTCACATCCCTCCACATTCACTGGAACAAGAGGAAACCCAGCTGTGAACCGGGACTTCCCTGAAAGGAGAAGCTGAGTGAGAATAAGTTGAATATAGGGCTCTGTAGAAAGAGGGAGAAACCTGTTGGTTTGCTTTCCATCAGAATGGTTTCTGATGTAAAAGGGGCTGGGGCCCCAGGATGGCAGAAGCACTGGGGCTTTCTATTGCACTTACATTTTTAAGTCCTCATTCATGCTGAAAGGGTGCATGGTGAAGGGAAAATACGCCTCCTTGTTATTCTTTCATGTAGACTGTTACAAAAATGAATCTTATTTTTGGAGGGCTAAAATAAGAAGCTTTTCGAAAGGTAAATATTCAGAGGATTTTAACCTGGAAATTACCTGGAAATATTTTGCCATATATTCCCAGTAAATACATTTAAAGAAATTGGCTGCATTTGCTGTATCAGTAATGGAGTGCAGTATTTCTGATGTATGAAATTCATATAGGAGGAGCCAACGGCGAGCCTTTTGCCTGCTAAGTCTATTCTCATTGGAGTGGATCAGTGCCTTTTTTTTTAATTGCAAGTTAAAGAAAAAATATTTTCCTGCTCTTGGATATTAGCATCACTGTGTAACTGTGGGATATTGACTTTGTGGGAAGCCTTCGGGGATTAGGGGAGAGGAAAGTCCTGGCCTCTTGAGTTTTAGTCAAGGACTTCAGGATGGCCAGAGTTTGACCTTTATCTCTCCCATTTACTGGCACTGGAATAGAAGAACACCCAGAATTAGATCAGAATTTAAGATTTGTGTGGTCACAAGCATCTCACTTTATATTCTTAATTAAGCTGCTCAATTTAAATAGCATCACTCATGTAGAAGTGTAAATACTTACCATTTGTCCTGCTGCTTGTGTGTCTTCCAAATATTGTTAGATCATCTTGGTTATTTATATACAACCCTCTTTCAACAGCTGATCAGCGTATTGGCCTCGCAGATGCTGTTTTGTCTTTACCACATGGTTTAAGTGCCACAATGACTCAGGATGTTGATGTTTCAAAGTACTGTACAGAGGTATTTTGGCTACTGCGTATGTATACACTTGTTTGTGTCAGGAAATTGCATTGCTATTTTCCACTTTTCTGTTCAATTCCAATAGTTAGTATTGCACTATTATGTATGAATTTGATCTAATTTTTGTCAAGCCAGCTGGAGACAGCAGTGAAAGCTGACTCTGATACAGACTTAACAAATAGAAACACTCCGAGATCTTTCCTAGATGTATAATGCTCCCTGCTGGACTGCTTCAGACATAGACCTGTGACATAGCTCCTTTTTTGCCTTGAGTGGCTCCAGTCCTGAAACTTTGGCTTGAACTCTTCAGTGATATAAATTGSTAAGGTTCTGTGACATTAATGAGTGCTTAGCTGCTTCTGTGAACCTGATGAGTACCGTATTTCTGTTTGAGAACCATGTACATTTTGTAAATGAGCTAAATCAAGTTCAGGGAAATATCTGAATTGCTTTACACTGGATCCAGTAGATGCTTTCTGTGGCAAAATTTACCTTACCTATAGGAATTAGTGGGTACTTCACTTTCCACCTTTCCCAAAATTTGAAATGAATCTGGGTCTGTGTTGTTTGTCCAATGTTAGAGTCACCCAGGCACCCTAAAAGAGTGGAGCACTCTATGAACATTTGGACTCAATGTTTTTCCCTATCTTTGTCCTCTTTGCACAGATGCTCATTAGGCTAGTACAGATTGCAGAGATGTGATGGCAGATGTCTGCTAGTTTAGCTAGCTAGATAACCTATGCCTTTAGAGACTGGATTCAGAGTACTACTTCTCTGAAATCAAAGTCTCTAAATGAAAGGCTCCATCACCCAGTACTAAACCCAGAACTAGTTAATGAGGGTCAGGAGACATGGTTTCATAATTTGGTAATGTAAATAGTGGTTTTTTTTTTTTTTTTTTTTTTTTTTTTGTGAAGTGGATAAACATGAACTTATTATTTTGATGAAGGAGACTATTTTTAATGTTGTTCCAGATAGTAAAAGTGGAACAAATATTGGAATTTCAGTCATTGACGTGAACATAAAGCAGGACCCTTACTGATCTCGGATATTAGCACAAGGAAAGTGCAATGTGCCAAAACCTCATCTCCAATCTTTTAGTATGATGCCTAACACCAAAATTGACAAGATGTTGGCGAGATGTTGGCTTTTAATTAAAAGCTTTCATTTCTTATTGCTGTTGTACAGAGGTCATTACGGTCTTGCATTCAGAAGAACTATACCATAGGCTGCATTTTCTGTAGGTTTATTACAACATTCATAATCTGTTTGTGTAAAGGCTACCTCAATAAAACATCTGCAAGTCCTCATCAGCAGGTGGGAATTTTTGCCAGATAGGTGTTGCACACACAAGTGTATGCACTTTTGAAAATCTCAGGTTACGAGATTTTCATGTTCTTGTATGTTAAAGTAATAAATGCAGGAGGATCAGTAGACACCAGAGTGTTTACAAATACAGCAGTCCTAAGTCCTGATCCTGTAGGCTTTGGAGAGGGCTGTGGGCRAGTAGGAGTTTCTTCAAAACAGAGAGGAACACTAAGCCATTTTTAATGCCTGAAAAACAGAAAGAAAGGCACTGTATGCAAAGGGCTTTACTCTCCATTTACTCTCAAAGGCCTTAGGCCTTGCCCGTGTTATAAAGGGCTCTGTCACCATAGTCGTACAGGTGAAGCACAGGTTGGCCAATTCTGATAGTGAAGAGACCTTTCCCTGGAACATCTTAGACCATTTCTGAAGGTCTTATGCCCCTAGAAGGTGTTTTCGACAGGACTGTTGTTGGCACAGTTTGTAAACTTGAATTGTGATGAAAAAAGTTTCAAGCCCCTAATTTGCACATTGGTGAAATGTTGGGAAAACAGGTAGATCTCCACTAGCATGTAGTAGATTATAATCCCTTATTGTTTTCCAGGGCAAATACTTCTAGCAGGAATCTACCAGGATATATAATAAGAGTAGGTCATAAATTCATCATCTGTCTCATGGTTTTTACTCTATGCTATATTTCTACGAACTTTTGAGTATCAGTAAATATCCTGCAGGTGCAAGTGTTTGATCGCTTCTTCAGCAGACTWAAATGAGTCAGTCACCAATAATTTCATCACAGTTCTGCAGATTTAGAGCTGCTGAGAGGATGGGTATGTGCATCAGCTTCTTTTTCTGTGTGAGGAAACAATGAATGAGACTGGAAAGATCCATTGCTAAATCGTGCTGCCTCCAGAGAGGGTGGTTCAGTTCTCGCTGGTCTACGCTGGCTGGAAAGTCTGTCTAGAGTTTATCTTGTGAAATGCTCTGTCAAAGAAAGACAAGTTTTGTGGTTTGTGAGGAATTCCGCAATTGCTATTTATTGAACATGTAACTATGGGCTACCTTGTTGTACAAGATGGAGTGCAGAGATGTGTGATGTCTTTCTACATTTTGCTCCACAGGTAGGATGCTTTTTAACAATGTTTATTATGCTGCACTATGACCTAGAAATGTTAAAATAACAAGTGTGTCACCTGCAATGAGATGAACTCTGTCTTTCTGAGCTGTGAAGCTACTTATTTCAAACTATGTTTTATAAATATATGGTCTAGTCAGAGATTTATGTAACAAAAATCGTAAAATAATCATGTGCCTTAAATTGTCACTCTTTAGAGAGCTGCTGTTTGGAGATGTTTTTTGGTGTGCAATTTCCAAGCAGTGTCAACTTCCTCCCTATATTTTTAAACAAGTCAAGTTGTTCTGCTAATATGTCTTTAAAAATGTTTTAATAGTATGTCATGATAAGAGGTTTGGCAATAAATTGTATCACTTTGGTGGAATCCTTCTGCTTTGGAAAGACTCATTGATTTGGCACGCTTAGAGATGACTTCTCATTCAAGGGTTTGGAGAAAGTAGACTGTTTGGATTTCTGTCCCTGAATCACAGATTCACAGAATATTTAAGGTTGGAAGGGACCTCTASAGATCATCTAGTCCAACCTTCCTGCTCAAGCAGGCMCACCTASAGCATGTGGCACAGGGTGGCATCCAGGCGGGTTTTGAAGACCTCCAGAGAAGGAGACTCCACAACCTCCCTGGGCAGCCTGTTCCACTGCTCTGTCRCCCTAACAGTAAAGAAGTTSCTCCTCACCTGGAGAGGGAACTTCCTGTGCTCCAGCTTGTGGCCATTACCCCTCGTCCTATCGCTGGCCACCAGTGAGAACAGCTTGTCCCCTTCCTCCCTGCATTCTCCCTTCCTGAACTTATACATATTAATCATATCCCCTCTGAGCCGTCTCTTCTCCAGAGAAAACAGGCCCAGCTCACTCAGCCTCTCTTCATACGAGAGATGTTCCATTCCCTTAAAGAGATGTTCCATTCCCTTAAATCAGAATCAGAAAATTCAAAATAAGTGGCAATAATGTAATGTTGATTATTCATGTCATTTATGGAACTCAAACTATTAAATTCAGCAACAGAAGCTATGGGAGATGTTCTGAGTCTCACGCTGACCACTGTGATACTTTTGATATAGTCTATCCAATTCAGTGACAGAATTCCTATTGACTTTGTAAGGCCAATATTTCAATACTTTAAACACATCAAAGTCTGGCTGACTTCCAGTGGACTGAGGAAGAAAGTCAGAAATGTAATTTCATAACGGAACAGAACTGAGACGTGACCTCAGAAYAGCTGGTCATAACAAGCCAGAGACAAAGTGAAGGTTGAAGTTCTGAAAGGAGCACAGKGTCCCTCAGCTTGGGTCTAAGAACTCCCACAAGCAGAGTTCAGCACACACAGTATTACTGACACAAAGCTATATTCAATTAATTGCCCTTTAAAGAACATGACATCAACAGTGCTATGAAGCAGAAACTTGCATGCACAGGTAAATGTATATCTGAATGCATTCAGATAAATGTATATCTGAATATGAGTAGATCGGAGAACCAAAGAATATTATAGCACCTGAGGATCCTTCTCTCCTTGCCCTCCCTCTTCCCTTCACTCCAAAAATAAGAAAAAAGAGAAAAACCCAGCTGCTATAGTCTCCATCTGTAGAAAAGGATACTCTCAGAGGACTGTCCATCAAACGTGAATCATCTCCTCTATCTCTCCTGATCACAGGATGATCACAGCTGTAGAGATGATCTACAGCTACTCTACATCTAACCTGGTGACCTGGTGATATTTGAGCACTTGCAGTTAATTGAGCAGAAGATGGGCTCTGATGTGTATAAAGCATGGTAGAACTTGTAGAATTGTGCTGTGGTCCAAGCTCATGCTGCCCACATAACAAAAATCAAAGAGAGTTTGTAATGATGCTRTTGTGGTGCATTCTCCTGACATATATATTTTCCATTGCCCTGTCTCAAAAAGGCAAAGAGATAATTTTATTCTAAATGAAGTCAGTGTTAAGAAGCAGTTGTTAAGACCGGGCTCGCTGTTAAAACTTAATTTAACGACTGAATTTAACTTGAGAAACTAATTCTATTTTTTTTTTTTAATTTTATTCTGCTAACTAGATCTGAATGAACAAAATCCTGCCATCCAGAAAGATGTAGTAAAGCAAGATGAATCAGCACCTGCAGAATGGTCATTTTCAGAGGAAAGCTTCATGTACAAGCTCTTACTACTATCTACTAAAACRACAGAAACCATAGAGCATATGCAGGTCTGAACTTGCTGCAAAGGACATCAGACACCAGTTCAAGGAATCTGCAGGGAAGCAGGAGGAGGAGAGAGTATAAGCTCAGAAAATGTAAACATTTATTCTCACTGGCCTTCCCAGGCTACGATTTTATAACACTAGACTTTGAGGGACTAAATATAAGCTGTATTGTATCATTGGGGAAAATAAGACCTAGAAATTTCAATGCTGCTCTGGATAAGTCCTATTTTTCATACCCAAGGGTGAATATATAAAGACTCTGAACTTTTTTTTCAGATGATCTAGCCTAGGCGGTTATGTATAGCTAAAAGTATGTCTCCCTGCTAAAAAAAGCCATGCTAGGGCATGAACTGGAGCATCGAACCTCTGATGGTCACTGCAATATTCTTATTTTATTATTAGGTTCCTTTCCACAGAAATCCAATTAGCTTTGTCTGAGAGAAAGCCTGAGGGCAATTTAGGGGATTATTTGCCCCAGGGACCGCGGCCACAGGCAGTGTGGACRACAGTGCTATGTAGCCCCGCAGAATCTTCAACAGCTTTCCAGCAGACCTGGTATCTTCACACCTCCCTGCCTACCCCATGCTGCCTCCYACCCCCGTCACCTCTACAAAGGTCATTCCCAGCAGCCTGTGAGCCAGGTTTTTCCTTAGTCAGGGGTATATCGATGAGTGTGAATGTTTGGATGGAGCTGTACAAGTTCTCTTTGCCACTGTCAAGAGATTGACAACAGCGGTGATCAAAGGAGCCTCCCATGCCACTGCTCAGCATTTAAATTGCTGACATCTGTCTCAGGTATGGCTTAGCAGCCCTGTGAGAGGAGGATATAAYGTAGACCGGCAGAGCCACCACTTTCATAGGAAGAAGTAGGCTGGTGAACTGACCAGAGAAAGAGTCAATCAGCCTGGCATGAAGATGAGCAGCAAAGAAGCACAGCAGGATCTACTGCAGCTGAAGATGTCACACCAGCCATGATGGGCAGTAGGCTACTGCAATGAGTGCTAATCAAAATCCACCTGCAAGGGCAGAATTCAGGAACTTGTCTGCAAGTCCACACACCACACAGAAGCAAAGAATATAATGTGTGTTGTGTGTAAAAAAGGTTTGAGAATGAGCAGATGCAAAATCGTG